TCTTCTTCTTCTTCTTCTTCTTCTTCTTCTTCTTCTTCTTCTTCTTCTTCTTCTTCTTCTTCTTCTTCTTCTTCTTCTTCTTCTTCTTCTTCTTCTTCTTCTTCTTCTTTTTCTTCTTCTTTTTTTGATTCGATTCACAACTGCCTCAAATTCCAATTCCAGGGGAATACGCAGTTCTTTTCTGGTCTCTGATGGCACTGCATGCATATATGTGTGTGTGTGCGCGCACATACACACAATCACAGAGTCATACAAAATTAAATTTAAAAATATGATACTGAGGTTGGGGATGTAGCTCAGTTAATAGAGTGCTTGTCTTGCATGCATGAGCACTACACCACGAAACAGATAAATTATTATTAACTGTTAAGATCCCACCTTGAAGTTCTGCACTGGGTAGGCTTGATCTCAGCTTTGCTCTGCTCTGAAATAGCTTTTAAAGGAAACCCATTTACTGCTGTGTTTGGTGCACCAAGAGACTGTGCCCTCTAGAGATTATGCTTATTTCCTAGGGTCCATGGTTGTTATAATTCTCCTGGCCTGGGCTGTCATCTGGGTAGCTGCCCCTTTAAGAGACAAGCCCCATCCACTCCCAGTCTCCTACTTCCCAACTAAGCAAGCTGATCTCATGTCTCCTCGCCTTCTCTTTCCCTTTCCATCCTTCTTCTGAAGAGGCAGCCTCTTCTCTCTTTCCCCTTCCTCTTTCCTCTCTTTCTCTGTCCCTGTATTTCTCTTTCCCTTTCTCTTTTCCCTTCATGACCCCTTTACCCTTATACCCTTCCCAATACCCACTAAATAAACCCTATACCCAAACTTTCTCTACATGGTGTATCTGTCTGTCTCCCACACGCTGTGGTCCCGCACATCAGCAGAAGAACCAGCCAGGGTCACGCCACCATAAATCATAACAATGATAAGGAAGACAAATTTGATATCATGAACCTGTGTGATGCAAAACAAAGAAACCCTCCAGAGAGCTGAGGAGATGACAGTCTGTAAAGGACTTGCCTCATAAGAAGAGGGCCTGGATCCTGGCACAGAGGTGGCGGGTCTGTGGGACTCAATGACCATTCAGTCTAGCCTTAGGAGTTCCAACCCACTAAGAGGCCTTGTCTCCACAAAACACAATAGATGGCACCTGAGAAAGAAACTTGAGGTTGGTATCTGGCTTACACACACACACACACACACACATACACACACACACACACTGATTATAAGCTTCATCCTAAGACTGTCCTACCGATATCTCCTTTTATATTTTTTGAAAAAGAAGATACACGTATAAAACTCAATTTGCATAAAACAGAAGAAAATTAGAATAGCTTCATGAGGGGCTACCTTAGGAGAGCACTTGCCTAGTCTATAAGAATCCCTGGGTTTGATTTCCAACACTGGAAAAAACTAGGAGTGATGGGGCATGCTTATAATCTAGCATTTAGTGAGGATCAGAAGTTCATCATCAGCTACATGAGGCCCTCTCTAGAACACCAAAAATAATAATAATAAATAAAATACAAATCAATATTAAATATTGTCATACAGATAATATGTACATTATTATAGGTGTACAGGGAAAATAATGGCCCTAAAAGTTTCAGTGTCATAATCCCCATGACCTGTAATTTCCAGGCAAGTGTAGTTAAGGTTGATGCTGTGGTTTAAATGAGTTGTCCTTCATAGTGTCTGGCATTTGAGCACTTGATCCCCAGTTGATGGAGGAGGGTCATTTGTTTATGTGTTACATTCATTGGTTAATAAAGAAACTGCCTTGGCCCTTTTGATAGGATAGCAGCTTAGATAGGCGGAGTAGACAAAACAGAATGCTGGGAGAAAGAAGCCGAGTCAGGCAGTCGGCATAGCTCTCCTCTCCGAGATGGATGCAGGTTAAGAATATTCCGGTAAGACACCACCTTGTGGTGCTACACTCATTAGAAATGGGTTAATCAATATGTGAGAGTTAGCCAGTAAGAGGCTAGAGCTAATGGGCCAAGCAGTGTTTAAAAGAATACAGTTTCCGTGTAATTATTTTGGTTAAAGCTAGCTGTGTGGGAGCCTGCCACTCCTCCACACAACACCCAGTTGGTGGTATTATTTGAGTAGGTTAGGAGGTGTGACCTCACTGCAGAAAGTATGTCATTGAAAACCAGCTTTGAGCTGGGCGGTGGTGGCGCACCTTTAATCCCAGCACTCGGGAGGCAGAGGCAGGCAGATCTCTGGGAGTTCGAGGCCAGCCTGGTCTACAAGAGCTAGTTCCAGGACAGGCACCAAAGCTACAGAGAAACCCTGCCTCAAAAAAACGAAAAAAAAATTAAAAAAAAAAAAACAACAACGACCAAAAAAAAAAAAAGCTTTGAGGTGTTAAAAGACTTGCACCATTCCTAGTTTGCTCTCTGTCTCCTGCTTGCCCTTAAAGATGTGACTCTTAGCTTCCTGCTCCAGTTGCTTGCCAACACCACACCAGATATTGCTACTGACTTGAAGATGGAAGGTGCTGTGGAACAATCTTTACTGTAAGTATGCATTACTCTCATTGGTTAGTAAAGAGCTGACTGGCCTATAGCAGGAGAGACTGGGCAGGAGAGACTGGGCAGGAGAGCTAGACTAGGAGAATGCTGGGAAGAAGAAGGGCAGAGTTAGAAGAGTTGCCAGGAGATGCAGAAGGAGCAAGACATGCTGGAGGACAGGTAAAGCCACCTGGTGATGTGGGAGTGATTTCTTATTAATAAAGAAACTGCCTAGGCCCATTTGATAGGCCAACCCTTAGGTAGGCGGAGAAAACAGAACAGGATTCTGGGAGAAAGAAGCTTAGTGAGGGAGTCGCCATGATTCTCCCTCTCCAGACAGACGCAGGTTAAGATCCTCCCTGGTAAGCCAGCTCGTGGGCTACACAGAATATTAGAAATGGGTTAGAACAAGATGTAAGAGCTAGCCAATAAGAAGCTGGAACTAGCCGGGCCAGGCAGTGTTTGCAAGAATACAGTTTCCGTGTAATTATTTCGGGGCATAACCTAGCCATGCGGGCGGCCGGGTGCCGGGGACACAGCCCTGCCGCTCCTATTTCAACAACCTGGAAATACATAGATCAACAGAAATGGATTAATTTAAGTTGTAAGAGCTAGTTAGTAATAAGCCTGAGCTATTGGCTGAGCATTTATAGTTAATATTAAGTGTCTATGTTGGCTATTTGGTGGGTGGGAAAGAAAAGTCCACCTACAGGAGGCCTTCTCATACAGCAAACCAAGGGAGCAAAACAGCTTTCCCAACTTCTCAGTTTTAACCTGGTGTGATCTGGGTTAAACTTTTAAAATACAGAATTTTATGCTCATACATTCATATTGTTTCAAACCACTGTATTTATGGTGATATCTTACAGAAATAATACAGCAATGAAGACCTGGGAACCAATCTTGATTTTCCCCACCCCTAATTTTCACAATTTTACAGGGAACATTCTAATAAATAAAGTTTGCTGTGGAATAATCATTTTGTACTCTGTAAAGATTTGTCACTCGAATTGGTTTAATAAAAAGCTTACAGGCTGGTAGCCAGGCAGGAAGTATAGGCAGGACAACCAAACTAGGATGCTGGGATGAAGAAGGGCAGAGTCAGAGGAGATGCCAGCAGACACAGAAGAAGCTAGGCGTGTAGAAAATGAGGTAACAAGCCATGAGCCAGAGGGTAGATAAGAGATATAGGATAATTTAAATGTTAAGAGTTAGATAGTAACAAGCTGAGGTATCGGTCAAGCATTTGTAATTCATATTAAGTCTCCATGTTGGTTATTTGGAAACTGGTAGGTGGGAAGAAAAGATCTGTCTACAAAAGTTTTGGTTTTATCAGGATTTAAAACGTGGACCCCTGAATGGCTTGGTGGGCACAGGTGCTTGTCACCAAGCTGGGTTTGATCTCGGGAACTCAGGTAGTGGATTGAGAGACCTGCCTCCCACAAGTTGTCCTCTGACCTCAATAAATGTGCAAGCAGTGTTGGCACACATGATAAATAATTAAAGTAAAAAAGTGTTTTTGATTTCAGATTGTGAGGTGAGAGAAAGAATTTGAGTTCTCTGCCAGGAAGTGGTGGCACACACCTTTAATTCTAGCAGTCAGGAGGCAGAGACAGGTGGGTATTTTTAAGTTCAAGACTAGCCTGGTCTACAGGGAGAGTTCCAGGACAACAGGGCTACACAGAGAAACCCTGTTTTGACCCCCCCCCCCAAAAAAGAATTAGGGTTATCTAAGAGGATAGAGCTGAGAGAGAGGTATGGGAAAGGAGGAGGAGAAGAAAAGAGGAAAAGGGAAGGGAAGGGGACAGGAGGGGAGAGAGGCGGGAGATGATGTAGTTGGTGCAATTCAGCAATGACCAACTGCATGCCAGAGAAGCAGAGAACCCAGTGGCTTCCCAGTTCAGGAAGCTGGATGCCTCAGCAGCCCCAATCTGGAAACTGAAAGTCTGGAAGTTCCCTGGAGAGTACCAGGTACTAAGTCTAACTTTAAAGGCTGAAGAATTTCGAGTCTGTCATATGATGACGGCAGCATGGATGTGCTACTCAGAAGGAAAGTGGCCTGTAGCCACAGTCTTCATCCGGCTTCTCTATCTTATACAAGCCGGGCCCTGTTGGAAGGTACCATTAAGGGCAGAACCCACACCCCACACCCAGTCAGTCTCCCACATGGCATTCCTCTGTGGAAATGCCCCCACAGACCGAAAGCTGCATTTCCGCAGCCCTTGCCCAGCCTTAATCTAGTCAGCTGACAATGTCACCCCTGCCCCTGGAACCCCAGGGTTTGACAGGCTTGAGGCTCCTCTTCTTCCATTTTTGAGATGTATATGAGGATGTGAACACAGTGATACATCTTAGCCATGTAGGCCTTACTCTGTAGACCGGCAAGCATCCCAACACTTAGTAAGCTTTTGGGAATAGTCTATGGCAGTTTCTGAGATCTTCAGAGTCAGAATCTGAATTTTATCATTTTCCAGTGAGGTGTGTAAACACCTCCTTCTAAGAAGCACTGGTCTAGACTTGCTGCATTCTTTGCTCTCTGTGTGGTGCCAGGGTGTGACGCGGACCCTAAACATGCTAAGTACATGCTCTATGATTTATACCGCCAGCCCCACACTGACACTTTCTGGAGTCTTTGTACTTCTCTAGTGTGAATGTCTGATTCTTGTCATTCCAGGGTCAAGAGCATTTCTCCTGATTGAAGCAAGGCACCATCCATCTTCCCCTGCTAGGGGCATCTGTTTCTCGTGCCAGTGAGTCATGCCCTCCTTTTCTATGGGATACTCATTAACTGAACATTAGAAACATCAAAGCAGCGTCATGGGCCAATTAGTTTAGAGGGCTCTGGGGACGACCCACGTGACTGCTTTTAAACACCTATCTGAGGACTTCCATAAAGCAAAGTCCAGAAAGAACTACAATCTACCACTGTGCACACATGCATGCATACACGCATATGCACACACACACACACACACACACACACACACACACTGGGCAGTGGGGGGAGGCACGACAACAACACAGCAAGCAGGCCCTCATGGGAGATTAGTGCTTTGATGTTGGACTTGCCAAACAGCGAGTAGTCCTTTTTATTTCCTTTATATAAAAGTAAATCAGCCAGGTGTGGTGGGGGTGTGACTGTGATTCCAGTACTTGGGAAGCAGTAGCAGAATTACTGAGAGGGTTCCAGGTTAGCCCAGGCTACAAAGTGAGACCCAGTCTTATCAAACAAACAACTCTAACCTTGGTAGCCAGATGAGGTCTCCCAGAATCTATCCTGCCAGCCTTTGGGGTCAGGTCTCTGGTCTTTTCCTCATCTCTCCCCGCTATTGCTGCCTGCAAACCTTCTCACTATCACCCCAAGCCACCAGAGAAGAAATTGAGTTACTTCTTTTGAGTCATACCGAGGTACTCTTTCAAAGCTTATGGTGACACTGCAGCCCAAGAAAAGATGGTGCAGAGCTTGAGGTCAGCATATGTGAGTGCGAATGGAACCTCTCCCTTTTGTGGACTCTTATTGCCTACATTATTCACTTCTTAGCAACCACTGCCATCCCGTGCATGCTTTCGTTTCTGTGCATCTGCACTGAGTAGCAAAATGTTCCCCACATCTGGATTTTCTCTCTTAAAAGTCCACTTGCAGCTGGGTGGTGTCACAGACTTTTAATCCCAGAACTCTCTTAATTTCAGCACTCCGGAGATAGAGGCAGGCAAATCTCTGAGTTTGAGGCCAGCCTGGTCTACAGAGTGAGTCCAAGATATCTAGAGCTACACAGAGAATCCCTGTCTTGAAAGCAAACAAAAACAAACAAACAAACAAAAAACCTTTACCCCTCTCCCCCAACAAAAAGCCAAACCAACCAACCAAAAAATCAACATGCTTCTCAAAGGCCAGGATTTTCCTCTTCCTTAGCGTGTGCACGCGTTTTCTCTCTCTCTCTCTCTCTCTCTCTCTCTCTCTCTCTCTCTCTCTCTCTCTCTCTCTCTCTCTTCTTTTATCTCTCCTCTCTCCTTTTATCTCTTTTCTCTGTCTTTCTTTCTCCCCCTTCCTTAATAAATACTTATGGCTATTTCCTGTGTTTACGTGTCTGTTACCTGCCGCCACTGTGGGCCAAGGAAGCGTGCCCTCCTGTAGCCGCCCTCATGGCGGGCTCCCTCCGCCAGCCGCCCAGGGATCCTTTGTAGCCGCTTTCCCATGGCGGGCACCGCCAGCCCGCCCGGGAACCGTTTGTAGCCGCTCTCTAATCGTTTTTTAAGAATAACAGTCTCTTCTCTTGGAAAGATACACAAGCAAAATAAATGGAATTCTTTCGCTCTTCCCCTTAGCTAAAAGCTGATTAAAGACTGTGGTTAAGGGGCTCAAAGTAGTAAGAAGAATGGTATGTTCATTATTTACAGTGAAAAATTCACTCAAATATTTTTTATTAATTAAATTTATTCATTTATTTTACATCCTGACCATAGTCTTCCCTACATCCTCTCCTCCAATCTTACTCAACTATTATTGGAATGCCTGCAATATATAGAGCAGCAGACAATAGAAAACCTCTCCCAGGAGCACAGAAACTTAATCGAAAGACCCTTATCCCTCAAGCTGTTTTCTTAACTATAAAATGAAAATAGCTTTGTGTGTATGTACAGGTATACATATGTGTGTGGGTGCACATATGTGTGCATGTATGTACAAGCCAGAGGTCAACCTACGTATGAGTTCCTCAGGAACCATCCATCTACTTTTTTGAGACAGTGTCTTTTTACTGGCCGCCTGGCTCCAGCACTTCAGGGATCCTCCTGTCTCCCCTGTGCTTGGGTTGTAAGCCTGCATACCATGCCTGGCTTTTTATGTTGTTGCTGGGGATCAAATCTGTTGAGGTTGGACCATAAATTATTTCTCTGACCAGTGGGGAGATGTGGGAGTAAAGACACAACTCACATCATTTTATTGGAAGGGCGTTTTTAGTGATCCCTCATGAAATCCCGAGTTTACATGCTGAAAATTTACCCACATTTATTCTCCAAACAGCTTTTATACCAAACCATAAACTGAGGGGGAAGTTCATTAGCATTTTATTTCCTAGGTAGCCAGGAGAATGACTTTGGTCACATCCACACCTTTCTTTGTCTGTTCTGTCACGTCTTCCTGTCTATGCCTGCGCTGTCACATAGACTGAATTAACATCTCTTTTCAGGTAATCTCCCAGAATTACAAAGAAGGAGCAGAGCGACATTAGCAGACCCTGACCCTTTGTTTAAGATGGCGTCAGTTTGTCTCAAAAGGCTAGGCGACCACCTCCTATGTGGCAGGTGCAAACTGGCCTGAAATTCTGGCCGCCACACAAAGTAGAAATATGGGCCTGTATAATATGGCCCTACAATTCACTCTCTCTTATTAGTTTTAATAAAACCTGTGCTTTTGCAGCAGGACAGATGATTACGTCTGTCTTAGGCAAAGACTTTTTCCTTACCCAAATTTACTTGTCTTCAGAAACACAGGCCTTTTATGCAAGCTCCTGTCTTAGGCACCTGGGGAGGAGATGCTTCAAACCCTTCACTGATGTTGACCTCTGTGAAGAAAAGAGATAAAAGGAGAGAGATACCTTTGGGCTTTGCGTCTTGGAGTCAAAGTTTTCTGTCAGGAAAAATTATAATGTTTTATGAATAATTATGCTCCCAAAGACTATAGTCTCCTATTTAAATGAGAGGAGGATTACCTATTTGTGTAGGCCTGTATAATATGGCCCTACACAAATCCAGGTCCTTGTGCTTAAGTGACAAGAACTTTACCCACTATCATCTCAGTCCCCTAAGATGGAAATAATTTCATAAAGTGTTTCATAAAATGGAACAGTGCATAGTCCAAGTGCTCAGTGTGGTAGTTTGAATGTAACTGGCCTCCATAATCTCAAAGGGAGTGACACTATTAGGAAGTATGAGTTTGTTGGAGTGGGTGTGGCCTTGCTGGACGAAATGCATCACTGTGGGGGTGGGCTTTGAGGATTCCTATGCTTAGGGTACCATCCAGTGTCTCAGTCAACTTCCCATTGCCTGCAAGATGTAGGACTCTCAGCTACTCCTCCAGCACCATGTCTGCCTGCATTCCGCCATGCTCCCTGTTATGATGATAATGGACTGAATTTCTGAAACTGTAAGTTGCCACCTTAGTCAAATGTTTTCCTTTATAAGAGGTGCTGTAGTTATGGCGTCCCTTCACAGCAATAGAGATCCTAACTAAGACACTGAGTAAATGCCAACTACAATCTACTGTGCTTGTTAGCATTGGGGGGGCCGGATCTCTCTGCATAACCCTGGCCATCCTAGAACTCACTATGTAGACTAAGCTGACTTCTTATTCACAGAGATCCGATTGTCTATGCCTCCTGAGTGCTGGGATGAAAGGCGTGGGCCACCACTGCCCAGCATGCTTGTTGACAATTTTTAAGAAATCATTTGGGGAACTGGTAAGATGACTCAGCAGGTGAAAGTACTTGTGAAAAAGCTTAACAAGCTGAGTTTAATGTCTGGAATGTACATAAAGGTGGAAGGAGAGAAAAACTCCACAAAGCTGTCCTCCGATCTCCACCTACATGCCATGGTATATGCGTGTGTGTGTGTGTGTGTGCACATGTGTGCATGAGTGTGCACACTAATATTACTAATAATAAATAAGAATAAGTTTAAAAATAAGTTTGAATTGGACCTCCCAGGGACATAGGCTTTTAGTATATACTCTCAGCTATTTGGAAGACTAAGGCCTAACTTGGCTACTGAGTGAATTCAAGGCCAGCCTGAGTGACCAAAGATCCTATTGTATAACAAGTTTTTTTTCTTTTTCAGGACTAAGTATATACTTTGTGACATAGTCCTTCTCTGGTGTGCAAGAAGTTCAATGCCAATACCAAAAAGAAGAAGAAGAAGAAGAAGAAGAAGAAGAAGAAGAAGAAGAAGAAGAAGAAGAAGAAGAAGAAGAAGAAGAAGAAATGATTTAAGTCTCCTCATCTTATACTGTTGATGAGCTACCTCATAAGGATAAAAAGTGCAACTTCTTTTCTTTAGCTTGACCTTAAGGATAAATATTTTCCATCTGTATAAAGAACACACAGAAATCCAGTACCTTTAATCAAAAGAAAAGAGATTGTTCTTTCAAATTCCAGTAGGTGGCGCAAGGAGCTTCTTGTCCTACATTTGCTGGCCAGGAGGGAGGTCCATCATCTTTGTTTTCAGGAGCCTTCCTGGCCCAGCTGGTCTTCTGGCTCAGGCATTCTTCCTGGTCTGTGACAATGACTCTTCACATAGTTATGTAGATGATTTTCTTAAGACACAGCCAATGGCTACCATGAGTTTTCCTAAAGAAAGTTTTATGGTGTAGAAGAGATTGACAGTGAGTCTAATTTGCTCCCGATATTTTCTCCTGAACATTCCATTCATCTGAAACTAGTTAACTAAATTAAAAGTACCTAAGTTCCAAATTTATCATACACAAAAATGTCTCTACATGAAGCATGGGGCATAAATGTGTCAAATTATGGAGATATCTGGTTCAAACATCTAGTAGAGGCCTGTTATGAATGACGCTGTCTTTGCATGGTTTCAAGCAATAGCATTTAGTAAATAAGTTTGTGGCATGCAAGGTATATGTGTGCGGATCCAAAGTTTTGCTAATTTCTCTTGTATAAATATTCCCACTCTGCTGATACTGAAATACTGAAGTCTAGAAGAGGGTGCCAGGTCCCCTGGAACAGGAATTACTGTGATTGCGAGCCAACTGACATGGGTGCTGGGAAGCCAAACTCTGGTCCTCTGCAAGAGCAGCACCTGCTCTTAACCGATAAGGCATCCCGCCAGCCCTGAGTACTGATTCTGAAGGGTGCAGGACCCTGGTTGGGTTGTACAGACAAGGGATGACGGCCTAGTCATCAAAGACACAGGCTCTATGACAGGGAATTGGAACTGAGACTCACTCTCATCATGAAAGCAGAAGCCCAGAAGTCAAAACCCACATTTTTATTAGAGCAGGACAACATACGGGGTAGCCCATGTCCCCTGAACTCCTGTAACAGGGTCCCTAGAGCCTTTAGCTAGACACAGGATTGGCCTTGGCATCTGAGACAGGGCCATACCTACAAACCAGACTCCCTTTCCTTGGCCCTGACCAGTTTTTGGAGAAGCTGAAGAGGATTCGAATTATCCTGTTGGTTGATTTTTGTTTCAGAAACATAGATGACTAGTGTCAGCTGGAGGTACAAAGGGTAGAAAGACTCCTGACTAGACGAAACTCTGGATGTAGCTTCGCAAGGCCACCCACTTCCCTACTTCACAAGAGAATGTACCAGGAGATGGCTAGATGGAGAGAGATAACCAGGACAACCGTGAATTTGTTACCTCTAATTCTACCAGTAGGAATCACCTGTGTGACTGTCACTGCAAGGCCAACATGATGACCACACCAGGGTAGGCAGCAAGCAGCAGATCCCTGACTTGGCCCCTCTCCTTGCCTGCCCACTGGCTTAACCCTGCTTGTTGAGTTTCAAGTCAAAGAGAGCTCTCACACTGATCTGAGCTGAAAGAACTGAGTACTGGTCGTGTGCCAGGGCTAAGCCCCACGGGAGGAGGAACAAAGTCCTGAGGGGCCCCTGGGAATGGAGACGCTGTGCTCTTGCCACCTCCTTTCCCTCTCAGGGCAACCTAGTTTCTCATCTCCTCTTTCTGATACTTCTTTGGCCTCTTCTCTTCGTAGCCCACTTTCCTCTGCTTCCCTGTATACGTGCTGAATAAGGCCTCACCTGCTCCCTTTCATATGCTGTCCTACTTCTGAGGCCAGCTGTGACTGACCAGAATTCTCTGTCCCAGTTCCAAACGTGCCAGAGAGAGAATCATTGTCTCAGTGTGGGTCTAGAGTGTCTGCCCCAACCATCCCGGTGGAGGGGCTTGGGGAAAGGAGACACAGACCAAATGGAACCCCACAAGGAACCACTCCTTCCTAACCATCCTTGCCATTGTCTGGGGACAGAAGCGGGTGCTCCAAGTCCTCTTCAGGCTGTCTCCTTGCTGCTCTGCCTTTTTCATGAAACACGTAACATTAATCAACTGTAGTTTATTTTGTGCATTATTTGTTTATTTGTTGTGAGACAGTGCCTCACTTTGCAGCTCTGGCTGGCTTAGAACTCATTATGTAGACTAGGCTGGCCTTAATCTCATATGGATCTATCTACCTCTGCCTGTGCCACCAATTCTCACTTGTTATAGTTTCTTATAGAAAACATTTCCTCTATAACCTCAGTTAACCAGTGATAAATGTCTACAAAAAATGTTGTATTCATGTAGAATAATCAATGTGGAGATCAAACATAGAGGGAAGAAACTTTTTAAATGACAGATACAGCAAGAACTCAGTTGACATGATCTATGTGTGCCCAACAATATGACTTACAACCAAGAAAATGACTATACATGATACACAAGTAGTTCATTTGCAAAGAGCATTTTAACACAGGGCCATTATGTGTAAATGAGAATTGATTTAATCATACATAGAGGAGCCAAATAATAAAGTCTGAAATTAGGGGCGAGAAGCAGAAAACTCGGAGGTCCTGATCCAAATGGATTCCTGCTCCAGGTTTGTAAGATAGCATTGAAGGAACTAAGGGGTGGGCAGGTTGTTGAGTCTGCTTCTAGGCTCTGAGAGAAACTTTGACTCTTTTCCCTATGGTCTGTAATTAATGATGATGATGAAGGGGTAAAGAGGAAGAGGAGGAAGAGACATTTCCTTTGCAGCTGTTTTGTGCTAGATACTATGCTAAGTACTTCACATGGACTGTCTCATTATATATGTTATATATGTATACAAATATACTTTTTCTTTCTTTCTTTCTTTCTTTCTTTCTTTCTTTCTTTCTTTCTTTCTTTCTTTCTTTCTTTCTTTCTTTCTTTCTTTCTTTCTTTCTTTCTTTCTTGATGAGGTCTTATGCCATAAGCCCAAGCTAACCTTAAGCTTGCTATATGGTTGAGATGACTTTGAATTCCTGATCCTCCCGTCTTCATCTCCCAAGTGCTTGGATTACAGGTGTACACCACAACACCTGATTTATCTAATGCTGAGGATCAAACCCAGGGTTTCAAGCATTTGGCACAGGCACTCAACCAACTGGGCTCATTAAATCTTTACAACAACCAAAGATGTAGACAATATTATTTCTTTCCATTTTAAAGCTGAGGAAACTAAGGCACAAAGGTAGTTAAATGCCATTTCCAAAGTCTCATGAATGGCAATAAACCCAAGTATGGCTGAAGTTGAAGACTCTTGATCTCAACCAATGTAATATCTATCATATTTAAATCCTCCAACAGAATGTAGCTTCTTAGTTGACATCAGGCTTTTCTCTCATTTTCTTCTTCTCTGGGTAAGTCCTCTCTCTCTCTCTCAATATATATCTAATATCTCTATATGTGTGTGTGTGTCCTTTGAAGAATGTATGGCACTAGTGTTGGAGATTGTATAAAAATGATTAAGATCCTCTTGAGGGTTCGAAGGAGCTCCAGGTCATCCTCTAAGAAGGAAGAGGCTGTGTCAACATATTTAGAACACAACACTGAATATTCTTTGCCATCCTAAAAATACTAGAGGTTGTCTCTTGCCCTTTACCCTTGTGTATCTTGCACACCCGTCCCTTATCGTGTCCCCCTCCCCCCATTAAAGTGCACCCACATGGGAAAAAAAATACTAGAGGTTTAGGGAAGGAGCAACCATACCCACTGTATTAATGAAGATTCTTGCCACTGGCAAAATACTTAGGAGAAACATCTTTGGAGGAGGAAAGATTAATTTTGGCCCCTAATTTCAGAGGTACAGGTCCACAGCCAGTTGGCTCATTGCTTTTTGTTGAAGTGGAGACAGAACATCAGGATGGTGGGAGAGTCTGACAGAGAAGGCTGCTCACCTCACAGCAGCCAAGAAGCAGAGGAGGTACGAAAGGGCTGGGGACAAGCTATAGCCTTTGAAGCGTGCCCAGTGTATCATTTCCTCTTCTGTTGCTGTGCTAAAACACAGTGACCAAAAAGCAACTTATGGAAGAAAGGGCTTATTTGGCTTGTGGTTCCAGAGGAATAAGAATCTATCTTGGCAGTCAGGCAGGGCAGCAGGAGCAGGGAGCCGAGAGTTCACCTCTGCATACAAGCAGGAAGCACAGAGAGCGCACTGGAAGAAGAGGGAGGTTTTGAACTCTCTAAGCTCACCTCCAGTGATGTACCTCCTCCAGCAAGGCTGTACCTCCTCAACCTCCCCAAACTATGCCACCATCTACAGACCAAATGTTCAAGAGCTCGATCCTATGGGGACATTTCTTGATTAAACTGCCACCCTCAGTGACCCACTTACTCCAGCAAGGCCTCACCTCCTATCAGCCCATTTAGCTATGAACTCATCAGTGGGTGACTCCATTGATGAAGTTAGTGCTCTCACGATCCATTCACCTCTCAGTTGCATCTCCAGCTGGGGTCCAATCCACAGCACATGGACCTCTGAAGATATTTAATATCCCAACCAGAAAATCCAATAAACACATGGAAGTTACAATTTATTGCAAATGCATATTGTTAGATGAACTTATGTGAGAGAGGTAGCGTTCCCATTGTGTTCAAAGGAAGGAGCAATTCCCAGTGTGACTCACCTGGAACAGCATGACTTCTGGTAAACCAGATAGCTCTGTCCTTATGTGTTTCTTATGAGAATGAGATCCCTGAAAGTAAGACACAGGCTGTAAAGGATGGGATCCCAGAAGGCCCGATCCTTGATACATGTTCTCAATACACAATTGTCCCTGACAAAAATACTGTCAGTGTGAGCTGTCAGCCAGAAAAACGAGCCAGGGAGGTAGGGACTACTGCACGGGAGATCTTTGGGGGATC